GTTCCATTGCTTTTCTACTGAATTATATTCTTGTCATTGATAACTAACTAGTATATTAATCTCCGTATTCTTTCATTAATTCTGTCCGCAGTTTGAAGTTAGATTCTGTGTATGCTTTTTTTCAGAAAATATTGTTTAACAAATCGAAAATATGCAGGTATTTTTTCATGATTTATAATAAAATAATATAACAAATTAGAAATTTTTTAAAAAATTAACAAATAAAAAAATATACCCACTTTATTTGTTACATGCTTTTTTCTATAATAAATTTTGTTTCACTGATTTAAGTTATTATGCAAATTATTCTCCTTTTTACTTATAAAAAATACTAGAAAATTGTTAATTGTTAAAAAAAATTTATTAAGAAGTAGGAAATATACCCTTATGCATAATTTTTATTTCTCAATAACAATATTGTTTACAAATTCTTTTTTTTTTCTTTTGGGTAAAAAAACATTAGATATTCCCGTTTCTTAATATTTATGTGTAGAAAATTCTCAATTTTCATAAGGAAATAATTTGCATCAATTCTATTTCTTAATTTCAATTGTTTTAATAAAATTCAAAGGTTTTTAAAAATAAAGGAAAAAAATTTTTATAAATTATATTTGTCAATTAGAAAATTTAATTGAAAATGAAACTGAAAATTTTTTAATTTTTAGAAAATAAGGGAAAAAATTTTAATGAAAAAAATGCTCTGTTAAATTTATTTACGAATATCTTTAACTGTAAAATTATTCGAAAACAATATTTTTTTTTAAATTTATATTTAAAATATTTAATTATTATTTTTTTACATAGCAATTAAGATTTAAAATCATTATTTTATATTATAAGATTATTGTTACTGTAACTTTTTAAAAATTATTTTCATATTCTATTATTATCTAAAATTTAAACTAAAATTCATTTTCAAATCAATTTTTTTAGAAAATTCTACGAGAATTAAATTATTTAAATACAAAAGTAAATTATTTATTGAATAATTGAATGTTCCTTAAAATTTAATTCTTATTAAAAATTTTATTATCAAATTTTTAAATAATTGAATTCTTTTGACGAATTTTAATAAAATGTTTTAGAATAGTTACATTTTTCAAGGAATTCAATTAAAATTGTATTAAAAATAATTTAAATTCTGCGATGAGTCTTATTATTTCTGAAAATAATTGAATTTATAAAAAATTTGTAAATATTTGAATATTACTGTGAAATTTTTACCTATTATTTATGAAAATTTTATTAAAATTTTTGAAAATAATTGCATTTTGAAGAAGAATTTTTTTATTTATGAAGATAATACATGGGATTTTGTCTAGATTTTTTTGTAAATTTTAAACACAATTGAATTTTGTGATAAGAATTTTATTATACTTTTAAAAATAATTGAATTTCTGCAATCAATTGTATGTAACTTCTTCAAATTCAATTTTTTTACTGTTTTTAACTAAAATTCTTCTATAAATCAATTATTTTTAATAATTAATTAAATATATATTGCTAAATTTAACTAATTTTAGAAGATTTTGAATTATTAAAATTTTTCAAAAATCTAAGTTCATTAAAATTTCTAATTAAATTCATTCAACATTGAAATTTTATTAAAATTTCAGATTGAAACCGTTTGAAGTTAATTTATTTATGAAAATTGTAAACGCAACTCTTTTAAAAATTTAAAATTGAATTAATTTTGAAATATATACGTAAAACTATTCTTTAAATAATTTATTTAGCTTACGATAGTTGTTCAAGATTTAAGATATTTAAAAAAAAAAATTTTTGGCAGAAATTAAAAAAATTAAAGATTTTGTATTAGAATTCGTGGTAATTTTATAGTTTATTAGTCAAACAAAAAAGACACAAAAATTCAGAATTTTCTTATGAAATCTAAAAATTTAATTTTTTTCTGTACTTTTAATAAAAATTCCTGAATTCTCTGTCAGAATATATGATAATTATAATTATAATAATATTAAAACTATATATTCCAATTCATATTTTATTTTTATAAAAAAAATTTGAATTAAAAATTTTTACATTCTATTATTTTTAAAAATTGATAATTTTATTTAAAATAGTGAGTGAGAAGTCAGCAGCGCGCGTAAGCGCGCAAATTGTTGTTAGTTTAATTATTAAAAAGACAATGTTCATTAATTATAAACAGTGGGTAAATTTATAACAACTTTTAAAAAATGGTTCTATTCACAGTTCGGAAGAGTGCTCTAGAGATGATAAAAGCTTGATTCAAAGTTGGTCCAGTCCCACCGTGCATTGAAGCGAAATTATCTTTTCGACAAAGAGGTTTATCTGTATGAAAAAAATGAAATCGTATGAAAACATCGGTTAAAATTTTTAAGCAGATACATGTACTTTTATTCAAATGAGTATACAAGTAATTAAAAGGTTGCTTTTTATTAATCAGAATAATCTAGAAAGTTTTTATTTCTCTAATAGTGTGACATTCAGAATTAGAACATCATAGATAATCCAGATATTTCAATTCTTAATATATGAGTTAAAATGCTTCTCTAAAAATTTTCAAGTCTTTCGTTTTAATCTATATTTTACACCTTCGGTATTACTCTTTTAGATTTCGTGGGTGTTGATTGATTTCAACGATAACACGCGCGATTCCTCTAAAGTCGTCAGAATTGTTTGTTTCGATATTTTTATATTCTGGTTTCTTCACTAAAACCTGATAATACATTTGTAATCAATTCAATTAATTTCTTTGATTTATTATATCTACCTTGATTTACAGTTCGCCGCATAATGACACTTGTTTTCTTTTCTAAAAAGCTATAATCTTCAAATAAAATAAATAAAAGATAAAAAAGAATTGATCTCCAGTTATTCTTTAACGAATTATTCAGTACTGAATAAAAATAGAAAAAGATTCATATAAATTTTCAAAAGTGTTTTAGAGAAATTTAGTTTAGATATTGACATTGAAATGCGAAATGATCATTTCGAGGAAGTGCGGTTCATTCGCATAAAAGAAGAAATATGAAAATCTATGGAAACATCCGTTTAAAACAGATTCTTTGCATGCAGCGTAGACTATACGTTACATTGGGAGAATTCGTGTTTAGTTTGTCAATAATAATCGAGTTTGAACTGCCAGTGTATATTTTTCTACATCTTCCTTGCAAACATTGATTTCACGGAAGTATCTCAACTGGAATTCTAGCTTACTTGCACATGCAAGGGCGTTTCATTTCTTCAAGTACCAGAGCAGCGCTTTTGTGCGCTATTTACTGCTTTCATGACGTTGACCGTTTCACTATATTTATATATGTAAAAAGTAACCGTGACTTTTATAATAATCTTCATGCTCTTATTCTTTTACTTTCTAAACCTCTCTTGTAGTATAATAATAAATTTCTATTGCAATTTTAAAATAAAATACTAATTTAAAAATAAAATTATACATACTTTATAATATATAATTATACAGAATTTATAAAAATAAAGTGTTTACAAAAAATCAATTCTAATAAACTTTTGTCAATATTAACTTTTTTTCAGGTAAAAGTTATCTCTGATGGGATGTACATACAACTTCACTTTAAAATTATTCAAGTTCAACGAAAACTACCTTTTTTTGTAAGTAAATAAATAATTAACACTTCTTTGTAAAATTCTTCTTCATAAAATTTTAGGTATAAAGAAGTTTTTCAGAAAATAAAAAATATTTTCATTTTATTATCTGTTCAAATACTGAAACGAATGAAGGAGTTAAATGCTAGAATAATATGCTATTTTCTTGAGAAAACAAAAGATCCCTGACTAAATATTTCCGAGATTCTCACCGCACTCATAAAGTTTTATGAGTTATGTACAGGATCTTGACCTCTTCTTGTACAAAAACAAATGACAAATATCTTGTATATTTTCTCCAAAAACATACATATGTACTTCTCTCGTTATGTTTTGATACTGTCGTTTAGCATAAAGTATGACATATTTTATCATCATAAAATATTTCCGAAAGTGTCACATATATTTTCAGATGCGTATTTTTTTATGTGAGTGAGGCATTTCATTTATTTTTTCTAAAAATTATTACCTATATTTTATCAATTTTTTCTTCGCTATTCTTTCGCAAATTTGTCTCAAAGGAAGGAGGTGTCCAAAAAGTCATAAAAAATTAGCCTTTTTGTATATGAAAGACCCCTTAGAATTTTTTGGCTATTTTTTATTCAAATGTCTTTTCAAATTTTCAACAAAAACCCTTATCTCAAGTTGTGATACAAATATACAGATTTACCACAGGGGTGGTGGGGGAGGGGGGGGGGTTCCAAAAAGTGATAAAAAATTGTCCTTTTTGTATATATGAAAGAAACCCTGGGAATTTTTGTGGCTATTTTTATTCAAATGTCTTTTCAAGTTTTCAACAAAAACACTTATTTCAAGTTGAGATACTAATCATTGTTCATCTGTTGTATTTTGAAGGTTATGTTGCAAATATTCACCTCTGTAAAATAATAAGGAATTATTATTTATTAACAGAAACATAAATTTTATTCATAAACTGTAAAAATTTGCACTTCCTGATTTATTACCATTTTTTTGCATATCCATTTCTCCAATTCATTGAAGCCTGAAAAAAATTTAAATTAGGGTTATTTTCTCATTATAAATGTATGGAAATATTATTTAAAGTATAAAAATTGTTTGAATAAAAACATTAATACCAATGTGTACAAAAATCTCAAGAATCTTTGTGGTTTAACCTCAGTAATCGCAGTCGGGTAATAGTAATTAGAAAACTCGTCGTATTATTGCAATTAACCCTCGGCACGTTGGCGCGCGTATTTCACGGATAGGCGGGTACCGTTGCACTTCCGGGTTCTGGGTGGGAGAAAATGCACCTGGTTTCTGGGAGTAGAGACGCAAGGAGAATGGTTAGAATGGTGCGCGCGCATCTGTCGACCACGCTGCCAGTGGCCGGCGAGTTTCAAATACCGCGTGGACTTTAGTAACTGCGAAACCGTCGTGAGGTAGAGTCTGTACCGGATTTCTCTCGAAATTTTCAACGATCAAAACAATCGTAAACAAATTTTTCTTTATCATTGTACTTTAATAAAGTTTTCGAAATTTATCAATTGCTAATGATATCGGACAATTCATTATGAATTAGTGAATTTTCATCTCTTGGAACAATCGAAATTATTGTGTTCTGAAGAAACTTTGTGTGGAATATTCATTAAATGGAATACTTGTTTAGTTTGTGAATGACATTTTTTAATGTCGAGTGTTTAAAAGTGAAATTCAAAATAGTGGAATTAGTGATTCAGTGTGACGCGCGATTTCTGATATTCTTGTAAACAAAGAATTTATAGGTTCTTGAACTATCCTTATGTGATTCAAAATAGACTTTGACGTTACTCGTCCCACAGTTTTTTTTAAGTGTGGGAGAAAAGTAAAAAAATTCAAAAAGAAAACATGAAAAGTGTATTCCTCGGTAGTTTTCTCGTGACGCTACTTATAATAGTAGCGTCCGAGCCGGAGGATTCGATAAAAGAGAAAATCTCCATTTTGAAGTGTTGTCGTTTTATGGAACATTTAGTGCGTGAAAATGAAAAATCCCCACCGAAATGTGTTCCCACCAGAAATCAATGGCAACCATTTATTTATTCAGTTAAACAGGGAAAGAAAGTAACGGAAATTCCAAATAAATGGAATATTACGGAAGGACAAAAACCTCAGTGTCCAAAATCGCATGTTTTAAATTATATACCATACAATCCATATTCACCATTTATTCTAACGGACACGGGTGCTGCGATTTTGGAAGTTGGATCAGGTAGAAATTTAAATCCCGAAGAGTACTGTGCTGATTCGAATGCATTGCTCGTTTGTGAATTAAACTACACGGACGAGCGTGCTGCTTCTACAATGCGACCTAGTATTCGTCGATGTTGTGGTTCGCATGCTGCCTACGACGAGAACAGGTACCTTTTGATTGGGAATTGCTTTTCAAGTTCATTCCAGTATATCTCCCTTGAATTTAATCCAAACACTGATCATGAATCACACACATATATACACACAAAATTACAAGTATTTTGTAAACTAAATTTTTTTCCATACACGAGTTTTGAATATTCATAACAATGAATTTTTTATTCATTCCTGCACTTTGGAAAACAGAAATAACCGAAAATAATAAATATTATCGTAAATAATCCACAGTAGAAGTCAAATAATAAATCCAATAACGTCTAAATTCGAAATTAAAATTTCAAAATTTAGTCGATAATATTATTTTGTACTTTTACTGAAAAGACAAAAAGCACTGTTCAGAAATTTTTATACACCAAAAACCTAAAACAAAACTCAAAATATTCTGTAACACGGTTGACAGTGTAAATACTAATGACATTCCTAACCTAAACATACAAAATAATCTAAAATGTGAACAAACAATGGAGAAGAATTTAAAACATCATTCATTCATTTACTACGTAAATTTAAATGAACAAACTTTAAAGGTATTTATTACGAGGGACGAGGAAAAAAAATCTATATTTGAATAGTTCAGTGAAAACAAATTTTTGAATGGTTTAATTATAGATATATACACATCGAGTAATTTGATTTCATTTTTTTTCCGCCTCTTTTCATGGTGAAAGAAATGAGATAAAACTGTAAAATTTAATTGTTATTTTGTTCGCAACGAACAATTGCCGAATCGATTCGCGTGAAACAATTAACATCATATTTCATACTCACAATGTCAGATGCACCTGAAAAAAAGTTGGTTTAAAACACAAATACAAAAACTATTGTCTATACTATAATTAACTTTTCATTTAAAATAAAGAAAAAAAAACTAGAAAAGAAAACTTTCTTGCAATTTTCTGCTTAGGCCCTTTGGCGCAACAGGCTTCGTACAGGGATCGGTACTTCAATTATTCGATATTTCGATGTGGAGCAGAATCAGGGTTCAGAATCTAAATTGCTTGATTTTCTCTAAGACTATGTAATATAGGTTCCGAACCCTGTTTCGCTTGTTGTGTGTTGAAGTGGAGAGTGGAAAATAATCGGGTTACAAAATAAAAATCATTTCTTTTATATTTATTGACTTCACAATAACAGAAAATTGTGTAGACGCGTTTTTCGAAGATATGGGGTTATGTTACATAAAATTCCTATATATATGTTGCTCAAATATAAGAGTTCTAAGAAAAAGTAATTCTAGTAAGTAAAAGCAGTGTATATACAAAATTCATATTGGGTGACATAAAACAGAAACGGATAGAAATATCTATCTCTCATATAAAAGTTGACGTTTTACGATTTAATTGTTTTTGGTCTAGTGGAAGTTTGTGAAATTAAAATGTCTCAAAACTAAACTGTTATAAAATTTTATTTCCCTGTAAATGTTAGATATAAATTTTAATTGAACAAAATAACAAATAAATCAAATGTTAGATCAATCTTTAAATTCTGACTCTAATCGTATAATTTTCCGATATTTGGATATTTCTTAGTTTCTTATTTGAACTGTAAAGGGGTACAGAGATCAACATCCTGACAGTAGTGAACGACACGAACTTTTAAAAACAATAATAAATATAGAAAAAACATTAAAATATATTTTAAGGTATTAATAATATTCTAAAGTGCAATATTTCGAAGCTATAAAAGTAACAGCAATAATTAATTTGTTTATATTTTCGATAGATATAACATTTTACTTATAGGAAGATAACCTCAAAAATATGACAGTTTAACAGAGAAATTTTCTAAAATTGAAAAAAATCATTGAAAAATGACCCAGTTTTAGAAAATTATTCTTAAATGCAAATTAAATGTTATAAATTTTAACTATACATGGGACATTCCACATGTCAACTCGGACTGAGCTCAAAACAAAAATTGCTTTGATGAATATAAACGTTCTAGTGCTTAAAAGATTTCTACATTCGTGTACTTTAAGATGCCAATAAGCGTTTTTTTAAAAATTTCCATTTTCAATGCCAATAGAGCTGTCAAAAGCCAAAAATTTAAAAATACTTTTATGCGAGTTAAATGCTAAAAACGAGGTAAATTATTCTGTAACTCATTCTTTAACAGCCAATATGGCGGACAAAATTCGAATTTGATCAAATTCGATTAAAACTTGTTGATCGGGGGTTTTTAGGGTAGCTGATTACGAATCTGAAGTCACTTTTTAAAAATCCAAAATAGCGGATCCAATATGGCGAAAAAATTGTCAAATATTTAATCATTACGAATCTATAATCACTTTTTAAAATTATGATTAATAAAAATTCTTTCGAATTTGTCTTTGAATGTTATTAATAATAATTAGTTCATTGCAATTTTATGTTTTGATATTTTCAATTTAAATTTATTTTTATTCGGTACTAACGTTTTATATTTTTATTTTAAATTTATTATTTTATTTGACTTAATATTTTTGTTTAATTGGAATATGGCAAAAACATTGAAACATTGAAACATTTAGCGTCATTTGAAGGAATAATACTAGAAATTTATAATTTGACACAAAGTTAATTTCAATTAGTTATATATTGCAAATTATATTTTATATTATATTGCAAATGTAGTTATTATTTTTTATTTTCGAAAAATTTTAATTATCCATGAATATTAAATATATTTATTTTAAATATAATAAAACTCGAAATGACAATATAAATAAAATTGTTCACTCTATTTGCAGTAAAATACATTTTATTGGAAAATTTTCGTTTTATTTGAAAATATAAAAATATTAATGGCCTAAAGGCTTTTACAGTTATTCAAAAGCTTATAAATTGTTCTAGAGTATTTAAATATTAAAAGCAAGAAATTTTTAATCCCGTTTTTATAAATTTATTTTTTTTTTTAATATAAAAGTATTAATGTATTAAAAAAAAAATGCTTTAACCCATTTCGTCTGGAATGTCCGTTTTATTTTCTTCATATTTGCGCTCATCTTTTTCGATGTTGGAGACCTGGAAAAAAATTTGCATAAGGTACATTTTATGTATATAAGGCCTCCTCTTTCAGAATTTGGAAGAAAAATATAACTTAAGGAAAAATTTATGATTGCTTGTATAAAAAATAATACCGACATGATTCTTTTTAATTAACATCGAATTTTATGATTCAAATCTCGATTGAAACCAATTTAGAAAAAATAAAAATTAATTTTTATAAAGTCAGGTCAACTTTTTTGCATTTTTGAATTATTTAAAACTAAAGTATTCGTAATTAATGTGGATGAAATTTTGTGTTTGATCTCTAGTTTTTAGAATTTTGGAAAAAATTGATATTCAGAACGAAGTGGGTTAAAAAATGAAAAAGAAATATTTATTCAAAAAGATATGAATTTTTTGTTAGTTACTTTATGGGAACGTATAACATTTTCGAGTGTACATTAAAAACTGTTTTTACGATTGTTTTTCTAAAGTTACAGAAAGTTCTCGACTCCATGAATACCAAACACACTTGACTACTGTTAGTAATGAATTAAAAAAAGTCTTTTCAATAATTAAGCTTAGAAGCGAAATACCACCGCCCTCTATAATTTAGTCGTCTAGAAGCATTTAATAGATAATAAGGATGCTTGTATATTTCAATTTCACTGAGGTGGAAAGTCGGTCTCGCTCATTATCCAGAATCTAAACAGATGTTGCATAGCATTAGTTGCATGTGCTGCCAACAGATGCTTTCTTACATAAAAAGTGGTCATTTCAGAAATTTTATACACTTTTTTCTACCCTTTCCGTTTTACAAAAAGAATTTAGAAATTGTTTCCTTTTTGCATTATCTTATTCACAATATAATTCAAAAGCATACAAAACAGATAACATAAAACTTTTCCTATTCCTTATAACAATTCTCAAATTTTACATATTTTTTAACATCTTATCTTCTTAAATTTAATTCCTTTCCAAAATCACAAACACCTAATATAAGAATATATTTTTAAAAAAACTTTAATAGTAGAATATCAATTTTTCATTTAAAAAAAAATTTTTATGTATTTTTGTTTTGTTTTATTACAGGAGGACTTGTGTAGTATCTCAAGATGAAGAAGGTGCTCCACCTCTGATTCCGAATCTCTCTTCCTCATTTGAAGTAAAAGCAGGCTTTCCCCATTGTCCAATGTCAAAAAATTTCTCAATTGCCGGTGATGTTAAAGATACAGTTCTTGAACCCGATGGTACTTTAGTATTTAAAGCCCAACAACTAAGACTTTTAGCAAAGGAATATTGCGTCGAGAGAATTCAAGAGCCGAATCATGTTGTGAAGGTCTTCGCCTGTTCGAATGACGCCATCAAAACGTAAGTATTTTCTATTTTTTTTCTTTCTATATTTCTTCGAAGGCAAACAATATAATATCAATGGAGATTACCATGAAAGACTCAAAAACAACCGTGACAAACCTTGGTTTGATAAACTTGTTTAAAGAATACAGATAACGGAATTTTTTAAGACACGCGAGAAATTTCCTCTCAGCTATATTGCATATCATTGTAATAACGTAATTGATAGTTTATAATAATCAGTTTAAGTGGGAACGAGTTTAACCTTAATGAGACAATGAATAATAAGGATGTGAGCATCACTCGGAAGTGAATTGTTCTTTGATGAAGCGACGAGGAATGTGAGAAAATTGTTATTATTCTTCCTATTGTTTCTGCGAGAACTACTGCTACCTGTGATAATACAGATTAACTTTTTCTTTAGGTATAGTTCAGATATACTAATATTTTTTCTTCTTCTCATATTCTATTCAATTCTATTCTTCTTTGTTGGAATTTTATTGATAAACGGTTTATCGTGTTTTCATATTCATATAACAGTATATTTTAATATTATATACTCTCTTTGAAACAATATGAATTTTTTTTTTACAAAATGGAGATTAAAAAGGGTAGCGCCATAAAAAGCCATTAGATTACTTTTTTTATAGTTATATTGTATAGTAAAAAGTATAGACGTATAAAAATAATTTTTTTCAAAATATGAATGAAAATGTTTACAAAAAGTAAAAATGATAGAGGGAAAAATATTTTGAGTTTGAGTAAAATTATTTATTACCTAATGACTAAGCCAAGTAATAAAAGACTGGCAGGCGTAAAAAAAGCACAAAGAACTTCGCTCTTGTATGAAAAGCCATTTCAATGATTATTTTCGTGAATATCCATCTCTCGAAAGTTTAAATAGAAATATGTAGTGAATATTGAAGTGGTTGATTAATTTTTAAAGATTTGAACTCCGAATTTAATGACACTGAACTGGGTCATATTTCGTTTCGGTTTATTTTATTTTTATCCCCTTTTTTTGGCCACATTAATAGTTTTCTCTTAGGATCTTTACCCCCGGAAAGGGAGGAGGAAATTTTTAAAAATCAAACATGTCTTCAGGGGCTATTAGAGACGCTGATTACGAATTCGAGGTCAGTTTTTTAAAATTCAAGATGGCGGATCCAATATGTCGAGCACATTTATTTTCATTCATTGAATTAGCTTGAAACTTGATACTTGGGGTTTTTAGGTCTCTAATTATTACTAATCTGATGTTACTTTTTCAAAATTCAAAATTCCAAAATTTCTTTTTGAATACAAAATTTTGAAAAATAAAATAAAGCTTCTACTTTATTGTAGTTTAAAAATTTTTATATCTACTTTATTTAAAATTTGGAAAATTAAATTCCACTTGACTTTACATTACAAACTTTGAAATTCAATTGTTTATTCACCAATTTCGAATTTTTGAATTTTAAAACTTATTTTTAATTCAAGAATTTTAATTCTACTTTATTTAAAATTTAAAGATATGAATTTTACTGCATTTTACTTTAACATATTAGAATTTTGAAAATTGTTTTAAATTTCTAATTTTCAATTTCAAAAATTTAAATTCAACTTTATTCTATAATTTACAAAATAGGGAATTTTACTATATTTTTTACATCAAGGAATTAAAATTTTGCAAAATTTTCAAATTTATAATCTTTAATTTCAAAACTTTATTTGAAATTTGAAAAATAGAATTGAAAAGAAATTAAACTTTACAATTCCTTTGTATTATACAATAGAAAATTTGAATTTTATAATATTTATTTATACAATATTGAATTTTTCAATTTCAAAATTTATTCTAAAATAAAAAATTCAAATTTACCTTTATTTAATATTTAAAAATTTCAAATTATACTTTATTTGAGAACTGAAATTTTTAATTTTACAAGTTATTTCAAATTTCCATCCATGAATTTTAAATATTTATTTGGATAAAAATTCTGCTTTAAGTTTCTCCTTTATTTTACATTTGAAAATTTGCATTTAATATTTACAATTTTGAATTTTTGAATTTTACAATTTATTCTAAAACAAAAACTATAGTAAATCGACATTTTGAATTTGACTTCATCTTAGTAGTTTTGAAAAAGAATCAAGGAACATAAAAAAAATTGAATCTGTTGTTAATGAACATCAAACTGTACTTAATCATTCTTTCAATTTCGATGAAATCAAAATATTTAGATTTAGTGTCAAATTATAAAAAACGGTTAATTTCTGAAATGTTACATATAAAATTTAACGATTATACGATCAATAAGAAAGAAGATATACCATTTCTGAGTAATATTTTTTTATTAATTTTTATTAATTTGTGATTTATTTGTTTTATTTTTGTAAAAATTTGTATTTTATTTGAAAATTAATAATATTGTTAAAATCTCCGGTACGATTATTCGATTGAAAGTAATTATATCTCATTGGATTTGAGGTCTACAATGACTCGCACAACTCTACAAAGAATCCCGGTTATAGCAGATAATTTTTAACGATTTGTTTGATAGTACCGTTAAGCAAATAAATATTTAATGGCTTTGGGGCTGCGAGGGATGAAAATTCGATTAATTTGAGACTTAATAAATATTCCCCCACCAGCACATAAATTTAGCAGTGTAGTACCGTATTTTGCGCAGTCGCTGCAGGATTTCGATAACTGACAGTGGGGTCGGGGGTCACATCTAATTAGAGTGGGTTAACGTATGTGTGATAACGGGATAAGGGGAGTTGAAGCTTATCAGATGGATACTTATCGGACTTGAAATATACTTAAACATTACCCTTGAGATTTGCAATATTGCGGTCTAATATTACAGTCATTTTGCACTAGGATTATAATATCCGTCTAGAGTTAATATTCCACTGAATATATTTGCTGTATAATTAATTATTGTTATAATTGCAGTTGATGTAATATATTCCACTGAAATATTGAGGAAATATTATAATAACGTTAAAAAATCCCGAGTAACAAGTTTCATGTAAAATAGTGAAACTTTTAAAAATTCATCCGCCATTTTGGATTTTCGAAAACTGACACACTGAAAAAAAAAGTTCATTGAATCAAGTAAATGCATTTTCTTGACCTGATTTACTTGAAACAAACCCATATTTTCTTATTGGAAGAAATTTATTTTCTTGTGTCAAGTAATTTTGAGCATTGATCAAAGTTATTGGAATAAGAAAATATGGGTTTGACATAAGTAAATATCTTACTGTTTCAAACGAACTGTTTTACATGCGCCAAGTCTCGAAAAAGTATTGAATCAAGAATATCATGTTCTCACGTCAAGTAATTTACCTTGAGTCATTTGGTATCTTGAGTCAAATAATTTTTTTATTTCCTTTAAAGCAACTATTTATTTCATCCAACACCCATAGTCTTGAGCCAAGAAAATGGGAAGATTAATACAAGTTAATAATTGTTTCAACTCAATTAAAAATTATTTTGTTTCAAAGAAATATTAATTAATCTAAGCATTTCTTTTACTTGAAGCATTTCTATATTCTCATGTTTCAAAATCATTAATTTCTTGCGAGAATGTTATATTTTCTGGAATGAAATATTTTATTTATTCAATTCAATTAAGTGTAAGATCTTAATATAAGTAAATATTTGTTTCAAGTCGATTAAAAATTATATTCAATTAATCCCATATTTATTTGAAGAAAGAAATTCATTTTCTTGTGTCAAGTAATTATTAGCATTGAACAGAATTCTTGAATTAAGAATGTAGTATTTGGCGGAACTAAATATGTAATTATTTCAACCAAATATTTTACTTTTCCGAAGTACCAAAAAGTATTGAATCTAGAATATATGTTCTTAAGCGAAATAATAAAGTATTGTCTGGAGAATTCATGTTTCTTGAATCGAATCATTTTATTTATTTGCTTTGAAACTTTTTTTTACTTAACACAATGCCGGTGTTCTTGATCCAAGAAAATATTTTTCTTCAAATGTATATGCAACTTAAATATCAGTTTTTGAAAACTGTCCATTGAGGCTAGGATGGCATAGTGGTAGCGTGACGGCTTCTGGTGCGTGCAACCCGAGTTCAATTCCTCCGACCGTGGAAAATTTTCTTTCAAGGTATATTTGTTGTATTTGTGTTAAGTATTAATTAAATGTAAATATATATGTAAAATAATAATTATTTAATTATTTAAATAAAAAATATAAATGTTAATTAATTAAATAATAAAAATGTTTGACCTAAGTATTAGAAAAGATGGGATGGAGGTAAGGGGGGGGGGGTAATTTAAGTAAATAATTTACTTGTATTGAGAAAGTATTTTTTTGATTGAAAACTATAAATTTTCTCAAATCAAGAAAATATTTTCTCGGACAGAGAACATACTTTCTTGATTTGATACATAAATGATTTTGAATTAATATATTCTGCATTTCTTACATGCTACTTAATTTCTTGGTAGAATTCCATATTTTCTTGGATCAAGAATATCTGCTCTTCTCACAAAATAAATGTTTTCTTCATTTAATCTTGAATTACTTGAACGAACGTTACAAAACATTGAATGAATCGAATAAAATAATTCAATCATCTATATATATTCTTAGAACAAGAAAATATTTTATTCATTTAATACATTTTATATTTCGTATAAGAAGATTAACTTCTTGGTCGAATTCCATATTTTCTTGGATCAAGAATATATGTTCTTCTCCCAAATATCCTATGTCAAGAAAATCGTTTTCTTGAATCAATACTTTAATAGTCTTGGCCGTATTCAATCCCACGATTTTCTTCAACCAAGAAAAATTTTCTTGGTTCAATACTTTTTTTTTTTCAGTGCATCATATTCGGAATCAGGGACCCCGAAAATTTCCGAGTAACAAGTTTCAAGCAAAATGGTGTCATTTTTAAGAATTGATCCGTCATTTTTAATTTTTGAAAACTGATATCATATTCGTGTATATACGAATATGAATATATTCATATTTTTTTTTACCCCAA